CCATTTTTAATTGATATACGAAGCTGTAATTCTGTTACTTGATTCACTTCAGATTTTATGATATCTTTTTCTTTTTTTATTTCCTTTCCAAATTTGTTATTTTCTCAGCTTATTTTACTATTACAAGCTGTACAAAGTGAACAATAAAAGGAAGTTGCCAGGTTGACTTCATAACCAAACTTAAGATTACTTTTCTTCATAAATTCTTTTAAAAATGGTTGAGCGTTACTTGCGTCATAGCACAAACCTCTATAGCCACGTACTTTGGCTGTTCGGTTATTTTTAGTTGGTTTTTCATACTTATTACAATGACAATTTTCAAATGTAAGGTCTTTTCCACAGTATAAACACTTTTGACAGGCAAAACACGTCCCTATTCGATATTTTCTTGTATATACTTGTATTTCATATACTTCATTTTCATTAAGTGACATTTTAACGCGTCAGCAATATAAAAAATGTGTAGTATTAGACGCAGTAATGAGCGTGAATTTCTATATACAGTATAAACTACAAAATCAGAGAAAAATTGAAAAAACATGATTGGTTAAAAAATAATATTACACAAAGATCGAAATTTTTTTTGGTAAAACTATATTGATCAGCTAATCACATTTTATTGAAAACGGCGATAACTGTATATAAAATTAGTTTTTGAAAAATTTCTTTTTATTTTTTAAATAATATTAAAAATATTTTTTATACTTTTAAGATTCAATAAATATATCAAGTACTAATACAAGTTTTACTACAGTTATAATGCCTTTACTATACTTACATCAGAATTTATCTATTCTACTTGTCAAGAAACAAAGTAGACTTTTACGGCATGAATATTGTGAAAAGACATAATATTTCAGAGATAAAATGATAGTGGGTGTTATTCATTTTAATAATAAAAAATGCAAATCCAAAGCCTTTAAAACTACTCGATCTTTGGGATTGTAAAAGTCATAATTGAGTTTTCGAAGTGTACTTGTTCTTTTTTTGCAAGACTTTTACTAGCATGTTTAATTTGTGTGATTCTACATAAAATTTCTGAATTCCAGAAACAGCAATTCTATTATCTGGTGGTTATAATCCAGTAAAATAATATTAAAATACATTTTATATTAGTCCAGAACGTAGTGAAGGACTATATATGTTCTAGCCACGGTGGTACAAAGTATCCCATTGTCCGCCTGCTTGATCTGTGAGTTGACGTTTAATTGGTTCTTATATTACACGATCAGTTAATTGAGCATGTGATGATCTACTTATTTTAACCTGTACACGTATACTTTCAAACAAAAATAGAATTTAGAAAAAAAAATTTATCAGTTGTAACAGTTTTTCGTTCCACTTTTTATTATTAGTCTTGAATGATGAACCTTATTAGTTCAGTCCTAAAATAAATGTAGATGGTTAGTATGAAAGAGTATCTAGATGATTGCTATTACATCTGCAAAATTCCTCCATTACTAAGATTTATACATGCCACCCAAATTATTTTGGACTGTCGTAATTATAAGTAAAATCCCAAATGCAATTATGGCATCCCAAATTATTTTGGCACTTTACATAGTAAATTATATATAAACCGAATGAATTATGGCATCCCAAATTATAATTATGGCATCCCAAAATAATTTGGGCAGCATGTATACTAAGATTAGCCAGCCAAAATGGTATATAAATTCAAGCTAGAAGTGTAAATGAGGACTGAGAAATAAGTAGGGGGTTATAGCTAACCAATTACTTTGCTGAAACTTGGAGTTTACAATCGATATTGATTAGATATCGCAACGATATCATTACGATATCATTACGATATTTTGATAAAAAATAGATTCGACGTCATTAAGTTAGTCGTAACTGTATTTATTTGATATTGATTTAGTTCGATATCTCTGCGATATCGCTGCGATCATTATGCGATGTAAATATTATCACGTAACCACATCGTAGTGATGTCGTATTAACATCGAATTAATATTGCAAAAATATTTTACATCTATTTGATATCGTAACTACATCGTAGTGATATTGTATTAACATCGAATTAACATTACAAAAATATTTTACATTTATTTAATATCGTAACCATATTGTAGTGATATCATATTAACATCAAATTAACATTACAAAAATATTTTACATCTATTTGATATCGTAACTACATCGTAGTGATATTGTATTAACATCGAATTAATATTACAAAAATGTTTTACATTTATTTAATATCGTAACTACATCATAATGATATCGAATTAACATTGCAAAAAATGATTTCCATTTATTTAACATCGAATTAACATCACAAAAATATTTTTATTATATAATATGTTTTATTACAATTTTATTAGTGGATTATTATGGGTGAGTGGAGTACGTTTCTTTCTTTTTTTTATTCTTTTCTTCTCTTTTTTTATTCTTTTCTTCTCGTATGTGAGTGGATGGATACGTCATTTTCAATTTTAAAATATATATATATATATATATAAAAAATAAAAAAACAATCATGATTAATAAAATGTACTCTTTGTAAAATATATTTAAATTTTAATACATAACCTTGGGATAATAGTTAGAGCAGGTAATCTCCGAGATTTTGTAAAGAATAATAAAAATGATAATATTTTTTAAGTTAGTTCTTTCTTTAAATTTTTTGAAAATGTTTTGTTTCTTAAAATCATAATATTGTAAAAAAATGCTGGTTGCTACGACTGACGAACAATGACAAATTGTAAGGCTACCCCTGGACAAAGTAATTAGAAGCCGGAAAATGCCATAAATATCCAGCCCTATTTTATAACATTTTCTTCCGGGCTAAAGCAAATATTACAAAAGAAAGCTTCAAATATATTCAGCAATTTGAACATGGCATTTGAGAATACATTTTACACACTCCCTTAAGTAATACCACAGTCTAACAAAGAAAGACTCAAACCAGAACCTATTGTAAAGAAGGTACATAACCGATCCCTCCTCCAGAACCAGTAGACTTTACGATTGTGGTAGAGTCTGAAAATATGAAAAATACGCGTATATCCTATTTTCATACCTTGCTTAACAGCTCCACTATTTATTTAAAAGCAGCTTTTCTCTTTTTTGTATGTGGGTAGTTGGGTACATTTTCCCTTTCTTTTATTCTTTTCTTTTGTACGTGAGTGGTTCCTTTTTTTTCGTATGTGGGTGTCTTACTATGTCAAATATATAAACTAAAGTGCCAAAGTATTGTTAATATTGTAAAAGATAATTAAAGTATACTTGGGTAAAAGAAAAAAGAAGAGACGAACCAAAAATACCGTAAAGTATTAATAAAAGACAAGTATAAGAAGAGAAAAGTGTATTTTTGAAAATAAACAAAAAAAATCTTGTATTAATAAACACAAATTTTAGCTATTTTTAGATATCACATGCATGCAATTAAAGTAATTTTAATTGGTTAATTTAAGGTTAATTTTAACCAAAATTTTATACGATACAAATTAAATAATTATTTTATTATATTTATATAATTTATATAATTATATGGCTGTAAAATAAAAATTATTTTTTATCCAAATTCTATTTGTAGTATCATGATTTGGTA